AGATCAGTCCAAGGCCTTCGATAGAGTTGACCATCGTTTTCTGGAGGCTGTCCTTTCGGCGGCCGGTTTCGGAGCCGACTTTCGCTCCTGGATCCGACTTTTGTATGCGACCCCCGGTGCGCTGGTGGAGGTGAATGGGGTAAGATTGAAGCCTTTCGTATTGTATCGCTCCATTCGTCAAGGTTGTCCGCTCTCGCCTTTGCTTTACGTTCTTGCGTGGGAACCATTCCTTCGCAAGTTAAAGGCGAATCCGGTCCTGCGCGGAATTGCCCTGCCTGGGGCTACCACCTCATCCAGGTATTCTGCCTATGCTGACGACGTTTCGGTTCTTGTGTCGAGCAGAGCCGAGATTGACGAAGTCAGCAAAGAGATCAGTGGGTATGAGATGGTGACAGGGGCCAAGATCAACCGCGATAAGTCTGTTGGCTTGCGGTTGGGTGCGTGGAAGGGAGATTCTCTTCCCGGGCCTTTCCTCTGGACGGATGGGCCGATCAAGATACTCGGCGTCTGGTTCGGTCCTGATCTCCAGTTGAAAATGAATTGGTCAGAGGTACAAGGGAAGGCCGAGATCGCGGTTAATCTGTGGTCCCGGAGGGAAGGGCGGAAGTATGTGTTTCACACATCTATCCGATTCTCCTGTACCGACTCTCTGTACTTCCACTCCCGTATGCCAAACTAATATTATTAGTTCGGACCTTGTTCTCTTTCTTGGGGAGAGACAAGGCCCCTAGGGTATCTCGCGAGATCTGTTGCCTTCATCCCTCTGAGGGCGGTCTGGGTATTCGTCAACATATGCTTCGCATTAACTTTCTAGACCGAATGTGTCGCGGATCGGATGAGGTGGGCGCCTTCTGGAAAGAAGATGTCCGTAAACATTTCCCATCCCTGAGAAGTGTGCACTCGTGCGAGGAGGAGGCCGGTCGTACACCCCGAGCCGAGTGCTCCTTCTACCACGAATGTCGTCGTGCTCTGAAACTCCTCTTACGGGCGTCGGATGGCCTCTCCAACGCCCAGGCGTTGTCTCGTAAGGCATTGTATCGACTGTTAGCAGGAGGCTCGCGCGATATGGCCTTGGGCGTCTGGGTTGAAATGTCTCAAAACCGATGAGGCATCAGTCACCTGGCTGGTGATTCGTGGGGCCCTCTTGGTCGGCAAGAGACTTTGTTCAGCAGGCTTGGAGAAATATCCAAACTGTCGTCGCTGTACTGGGGAAGTCGAGACCATTGGTCACGCCTTTTTTCAGTGCAAGGCAGTAGTGCCGTTGTGCAGGTTTGTTGAAGGCCTCATGGTTCGCATGCTGCAGGGAAAGTTTTTTGTCCGTGAAGCCAGTTCTGTTTGTAGCAATGTGATGCCGCAGTTGACGAAGGCTGAACACTATGTGTTCTGTTGCTTACTAGGGGTTATGAGAGTCGTGATTTAGACGACGCGTCTGAAGGAATTCTATGATGGCGAGTGTGTGCATTTGTGAATGCTTTGGAGGAATGAATGTTTTCTTTATTTTTCATAGCCCCGCATTGATTTCGTCCGGTTAACTGATATTTCTGCCACATTTAAGGTTTGTGGAGGTGTTTTATTACTAACTCCCTTTTTTGTTTAGTTTCTTGTAAATATTTTATATCATATTGTATATAGTCATTGGGGATCTTTTAAAAATTGTTGTTTTTTTATGCCCCTCCCCCCAGGAACAATATTTGTACATAAGGGGACTAGGACTTTCATTGAGACGAAGAGGTATTTTGGTGGACGTAGCAAGAAAGGTATGGATAAATGTGTTGTTTTGGCGATAGGAATATTGTTTTGTATGATAGGGTCAGTGGTTGTGGCTAGCTAAGTTTTATATTAAGACAAGTGATGACCGTCCTTTTCCCCAACCCCCTTTTGTCCATGTGCCACATTTGTTGTATTTGCGACAATAAATATTGTAGTTTTTCATTCATCTCTCTTGCACTTCTCATTCCTTGCTACCATGGGCCAAGATGTAACCTTCAGGAACTTTCGTCTTAGTCATTGCCGGCCAGACGTTAAAGACAATTACCAATATTCACGAACTCTGAAATCACTCCTGAACTTTTACCAACTTTTGTGGTTAAAAAAAAAATATATATTGTTTATTTTAAGCTGGCAAAAGAAATTAACGCGGAATCACGGCGTTCATAGGACCAGAGTTGAGAAAATAAGATGGAGTGTACGAAAGACGGTGAGAGAAGAGTAATTTAGTCTACAAAAAAGCTAAAAATATGGAGTGTACGAAAGACGGTGAGAGAAGAGTAATTTAGTTTACAAACAGCAAAACAATACGTCAGATACAACATCTACGTTTTGTCACTCAGAATTAACGTCTACTAAGGAATTTTAAGACAGTCTTTCGAATTTAAACTACAAGCTATTTCGGCATATACATATAAAGCACCGTGACGGTATGGAGAGGAATCGAAAAGTAACTGTCGATATGGTGAAAACATTTAGTGGCGAAGGTGATTTGATGGCCTGGTTGGCGAAAGTGAAATTGGTAGCGAGACTGCAAAAAATCCACGACCTCGCAAGTTTTATGTCTCTGTTTTTAGAAGGACACGCCCTGGCCTTATATCTCCAATTGACCGATGAAGATTAACGGGATGCAAAGAAAATAGAGGCTAAGTTAAAAACAGCCTTTACAGACGAAGTTTTTTTCTGCATATGCAAAACTAGTGAAGACGCGATGGAGCGAAGAAGCCGTTGATGTGTATGCAACGAAAATACGACTGGCGGAATTAGCAGGGTTTGAAGGAAGTGGACAAGAGCAGATCGTGAAGCTCATGTTTGTCAATGGGTTCCCGGAAAGTATTTCGGTGCCACTACAGCAGTTGCCAAATGTGGAGAAACTAGAACTCAGTGAAATAATTTCACGTGCCAGGGTGCTTACAGCCACTCGGAGACCAGAAGTAGTAGCGGTCGCAGAACGAGAACCTAAACAGCGTGATGGAAGACCAAGAATGATCAAACCGTTTAGTGGCAAATGTTATAACTGCAAGGATCCTCACTTGTTGAAAGACTGTAGGGAACCAATCAATGTGACCTGCTATGGATGCGGCAAGCAGGGACATTATGTAAAACACTGCCCACAGGGAAAAGATCAGGGGGCAACCGGTGCGCCGGCGGTTACCCCTTCAAATCAGCAATGGCGCAAACCAGAACACTACCAACAATGGAAGCGCTGATAGAACGCATGAGAGCTAAGGCCTTAATTGATACTGGCAGCACCGCAACATTAATCCGGTCGGGTCTTTCGACTGATTGTAGGAGTACAAGTACTGTAAGAGTAGTGGATGGACGGGAAGTTGTATGCAGAGGGATCAGCACAGTGACGTTGGAGGTATGTGGACGGTTACTGAGAATCGAGACAATTGTGATGGAAAAGATCATCGACGGTGTTGACGTCATTGTGGGCATGGATGTTATCCGCCAGCTTGGAGGGGTTACCGTCTACGGAAATGGTAACGTGGAGTTCAGAGGAGGAGATTGTGCTATGAACATACAACCAAACAGCAAGAGTAGCAAAAAGATGCAATGCGAAGTGTTAGATAAGGACTTTGGTGCAAGATTTGATGGAAGGAAGTGGACCGTGGAATGGAAATGGATTTCAGAACCCCCAATATTAAAAAACAACGTTAGTCACTACCATGCTAAACTGCGTAAGGAGAAGTAGGTCGAGTTCGACAGTGAAGTTAAACGGTGGATTGAGGAAGGAATCTTAACCCCGTGGGACCAGGATGTTCAGACGGGAGTGCTACCCTTAATGGCAGTGAAACAACCCACAAAAAACAAGATCAGGCCAGTTCTCAATTACAGAGAACTAAATAAATACATTATATGTCATTCTGGTGGGGATGCAATTGACGTTTGTGGAGAAACAATGAGGAAGTGGAGGCAAATGACAACGGCATCAAAAATTGTTGATCTAAGGTCTGCATATTTGCAAATCCATGTCGCGAGACATCTGTAGAAGTACCAGTTAGTTCGATACAAGGGACAGACCTATTGTTTAACGAGGTTGGGTTTCAGACTAAATGTAGCCCCGAAAATTATGTCAAAAATCCTAAAAAATGTGCTAACAAAAGAGGAACACATCGGAAAAAACACGGATTCGTATATTGACGATATACTAGTGGATGAAACAGTGGTACCAGCGGCAGACCTTGTAAATCATCTTAACAACTTTGGCTTAACAGCAAAGCCACCAGAATAGCTGGATGGCTTAGAATCGCCTGCAGTTATTTGAAGAGAAGAGCAGAAGAAATCGATTGGGAAGACATAGTGGATAGTGAAACAACCGGTATGGTACGGGAAGTTGTGGAAGAAGTTCGACACCACGATCCGGTTCGAGGGAGATGGCATGTTCCCAAAATGGAAAAGGGCGTTGTATGGTGCGACGCAAGCAGTATGGCCACTGGTGTATGTATTGAGATCGATGGTGCGATGTCGAAGATGTGGCGTGGTTAAGAAAGAAACGTGACTACAACCATATCAACGTTGCTAAGTTGGATGCTACGATAAAGGGTGTAAACCTCGCATTGAAATGGGGTCTAAAAGAGATTGAAATTCGAACTGATTCGGTTACTGTCCGCAGTTGGATCAGTCTTACGATAACAGACGAAAAAAGGATCCGTACAAAAGGAGCGGCAGAGCTAATTATCATGCGACGTTTGGGGATTCTGAGGGAAATGATTGATGAATTTAACTTAAAATTGAGTGTAACGTTCGTGCCCTCTGACAGAAATAAGGCCGATGCTCTAACCAGAGTGAAAAAGAGTTGGCTGAAAGTAGAGAAAGCTGTACAGCGCTGCCGTGCAGGCCGAGATGAGGTCAAGGAGTTGCACGGACTGCAGTAGGAGTGGAGCACTATACGTGCCGTGCAGTGAAGCAACATAGAGATGATTTATGGTCAATGGAGGTTGCTAAAGTGGGACTGCATTATGTGATTGGCTGCTGGGATATTACTATATAAAACACTCAGTTTATCTATGTGCGGCTTTATTTTTGTCTGCCAGCTGGTCTTACCCGGAGGTGTCTACAATAAGAAAGATACGGAGGTGTCAGAGAACGTGGTTAGAAGCTGCGATCGTTGTCAATCAATCGACCCGTCACCAAATATTCACGAATTAGGAGAGATCCAAGTAGACACCAATTGGACCAGATTATCTATCGATGGGACGCATTATAGAGGGGAAATGTACCTGACTATAGTTGATTGTGGCCCTGGCCGGTTCGCCATTTGGAGGGAGATTCGAGCAGCAACAGCAGACATCATTGCGAAGGAGCTGGAGGAAATTTTTTTCGAGCGTGGACCAGTTGAAGTACTCATGGACAATGGGGCAGCGTTCCGTTCGGAAGTTTTTCGGTCAATGTTGGATAAGTGGAACACTAGGCAATATTATAGAGCAGCGTACAGGCCTAGTGGAAATGGTATCGTAGAACGATATAATATGTCGCCTAAATCTGGCCAACGTGAAGACACTGTGCCGCACAGAGCAGTTTACACATACCAATGGAGACATCCTAGAGTTGGGCCATGTTTAACACGCTCTGACAGCCCTGAATCTATACGCATTGGAGAGGAGGTTTGAGTCAAGCCAACTGGAGCCCGCTGCACGACAAAATGGACAAGAGGAATGGTTACCGGGGCACAGTCGCGCAACAATGTTGAGGTGGACGGCATGCCAAGGCATATTCTTGACCTAAGAGTGATTCAAGAGGATTTAGAGAATGAAGGAGAAAATTGGAGAAGTTCTCATGAGGCTCAGCCCCAAACACTGCGGAAATCGCAAAGAGAGCGACACCCGCCCAGATGGAAGACTGATTATATAACGTGAGATGTGATCATGAGGGGGGCATGTGGTTAAAAAAAAAAAAAAAAAAAAAATGATCTCATTGGCGTCTGTACGTAAAAAAAAAGTTTCGTGTAAAAATCTATATACAGTGTAACCCGGATATAAGAGAGTTGTCGGGACCGCAGATGAAGTCTCTTATGTTCTCTTATATCTGGGTTTGGTCTATTTTGTTTAGGTAACACAGGCTCTAATTTGGGACCAGAGAAAATCTCTCTTATATCCGGGTTTCTCTTATATACGGGTCTCTTATATCCGGGTTACACTGTATTGTTTATTTTAAGCTGGCAAAAGAAATTAACGCGGAATCACGGCGTTCATAGGACCGGAGTTGAGAAAATAAGATGGAGTGTACGAAAGACGGTGAGAGAAGAAGAGTAATTTAGTCTACAAAAAGCTAAAAATATGGAGTGTACGAAAGACGGTGGGAGAAGAGGAATTTAGTTTACAAACAGCAAAACAATACGTCAAATACAACATCTACGTTTTGTCACTCAAAATTAACGTGTACTAAGGAATTTTAAGACAGTCTTTCGAATTTAAACTACAAGTTTAGAACTCACAATTCCAAACTTTCTTAATATGAACTCAGGTACAACTAATACCTAATCAAAGGGACACGACTCTGTCCTACCTTTTCAGTTCGCATGCATGTACATCAAACATTAATAAATTTAATTGTTATGTTTTGGAATCATTTAGTTCAGTTTTGTATTTTATTCTATGTGCTATTTACGTCAAATATAAATTACATTGCGTTCACGCATTGCCCTTAGTCTCATTTTTCTAGTCTAAGTTAAATATTATTGATAACTCAATCACTACATTATGACCGCGACGTTCATCGTTCGACGTTCACAACAACAATGGTAATATAACCGCTACATATATTGGTGACACCGACGTTCAAGGAATATACAAGCCATTACATGATGATCCCGTCGGAAATAAACAATAATGGTACCCCTATCGCTACAAGAGAAAGGTAAAGCGCACAGATGCGTATACAAAAAAAAGAAAAAGAAAATAGACACTACCTATACCGACCAACAAAATACATAAATCACTTTGTTACACACACAATTTATGATTTATCATTTTCAAATACTATACAGAAATATTTCGTCACACCTTTACCACCCGTCCCAAACTTCAAATTGTTCAGTTTGTTTCTTTTCTGATCCACACAGTACACTGCCTGTAGCAGCAGCAGATCAAATAAGCAAATCCGGCAGCTTGTCTCTCGTTATCAAATGTAGGCCTTGTGTTGTTATGAACGAAAAAATACTTCAGCGTGTGCCAATTTGTTAATGTTACACATTGAAAAGAGGTACCAAGTAATTCTCCATTTTTTATTTGTTAATTGCAACATCACAATATTGCAATATATTTTCCCAGTTTGCGAAAATTATTTATCTTAAAATAATTACTTTTTAGAATTTTCATGAAAAAATTCACAATTTTTAAAGAGCTAGAAAGTAAAATAAAATCAATTCTACTTTAACAAGACAGCGCAACTTTCCGATTTGTTTGAAATTTCGTTTCGCTAGCAATTACTAATTTTCATGCCAACCATCATTATCGGTGACAGAAGCAACAATAACTATGTCGGGAGAAGCAATACTTACGAAATCTCCTGTTGTCTGTATCATCACAGGGGCCAGTCGTGGCCTAGGACATAGCCTTGCTCTTGGCCTGGCTAAAATTTTGCATAAGGATTCTGTTTTTATCTTGATGGCTCGTTCAGTAAATTTACTTCAAGAAGTGAAAAACGATTTAATAAAAAAGGCCGAGAAATCCCCCACTGATATAATTATTGTTGAATTTGATCAAAAGAAATTTACTAAAGAATATGCTGATCATCTTTTTTCCCAGATTCTTCAACCTCAATTAGATCTTGCCTTGGGAATGAAAAAATATGAAACCTGCCTCTTGTTACATAACGCGGGTACCTTGGGAGATATCAATAAGAAAGCAATCCAACTGAGTGAAATGGAAGAAATGAAAGATTATTTTGATATTAACCTCAATGGATTGATCGCCTTTAATGCAACATGCCTGCAGCAATTATTTGCTAGCACAAAAAATCGTTTTGTTGTCAATATTTCATCTCTTACAGCTATTCAGCATTTCAAATATCTTTCATTGTATTGTACAGGTAAGAAGACCATTCTCTGCTCATCGATCTATTTCGATTTTCTCATTCGTTGGCAATTTTTGTATTGAAAAAATAAAAACTTCTTTGTTTAAAAAAAAAAGGTATTTTTTTTATTCCACCTACTATTAACTTTTCTAAATAAGTCACAATCGCTCTAGTCTAAAATTTTTGATGTTTACTTTTGCATACGGGTCCGGAAAAAAAAAAAAAAATTTCTTTTTTTTTTTTTATTTTTCGACATTAAAATTTCCTTCGATTTTTACTCTGAAGTTTCTTTAAATATTTTTCATTGCTAAAATTATTTTCTTTATGAATTTAACTTTGTGATTGTACCCCCAAATCATTTTTATTTTTATCCCATTATAAGCGGAACCAAACATCACTAACGTATATTTGGATAACTAACTGATTCTCGATCTATCTGGAACATTTTTTTTTTTTTTTTTTTTTTTACAAAGTAATTAAATTCTTCGGATTTCCTTTTCAATTCCTCCAAAGAGCCATTGTTGATGAAGCACTCGGTCGCTATTTTTATCGCTTTTAAACTTCTGTTTCTAATTCCAATTTGATGCAGAGCTGTGAAGCTTGTGGAATTCTGAGAAGCTTCTGATTTGATCGTAATTTATTCCAAAAAATTCTGCATAACAAAGGAAGAATTATCTCCCTTACATTTCTCTTAAGTATTTTAATTAAACTCATTGTGAGCTCCCTTTTTGGATTTACAATGTCATGTAGCTGAAATAAAGCAGAAGATAGTGTCCGAAATGCAATTTTTATTTGAACCATATAACAACTAATTATTCTTGAGTTTCCTTGAAATAAATTCGAGCACATATTATTTAGGTACCTCCCTCCGTCCCCAAAAAGCGACACTTAGGTGTCCCCAAAAAAGAAAGCGACACATTGGGTGTCGTTTTTTTTGGGGGGGGGGGATGGTAGGTGCGCCTAAATGCATTTTGAATTAAAAATACATATTAAAAAGTAGTCTCTTTCCTGAGGTTTTTATTTTAGTTTTAATTCCGAAGCTAATAGATTAAGATTAAAATTTAATAATTCCAATGAGCAAACAAAATACTTGCTTTGCTGTATTTCAAACCAATTTTAAATTGCTTGGGATAAAAAAAAATCGTTCATATTGACAAATCTGAACACAATTCTGTTTATTATAAAATTTTGTGAAAAGTTATTTGAAAAAATTGCTGATTTCATTGGCGGGATGGGGACAGTTTTTTTTCATGTTTGGCGGTCAGTGTCATAAGTCTAGTAGCCATGACTTGTTTTCTCTTTATTTTTTGTTATTGTTTTTTTTTTTTCTCTATATACTCCAACATGTTTTTTATGCCACCCACCGCATGAAATTCTAAGTACGGTTTTTTACATATTAAATTTAGATTTTTCAGAAAGACAATGTGACTTTGCTTTGGCTAACGCAACAAAAAATTTGATGTTGTGATGAAAGAAAAACACCAAGAATGGTACGGTCACTAAATAGAAATGTGGCATGTTAAGGAATAGGATAGACTTACACATTCCTCTCCCTGTGCTATATCTCCTCCTGTATTATACAAAATGAATAATGCCATGATAACTGGTTTTCAAATTCTGAACTCTTGAAAGAGAGTTCAAATAAAAAAGAAATGTAAGGGAAGTAATTCAGTGATTGTTATGCCGAAATTGTATGAAACGGTAATCCATGTTTTTTTATATTGTAACTTCTATCTCCACTTTGAATTAATTTATTTAATTTGGATATCATTTTTATTTTTTATCTGTTTTTTCCATAGTCTATGATGTTTGGATTGATAAAAATGTAATTTTAATATTGTAAAAGTTCAAAAATTCCAATTCTCCATGTTTTTTGGGTTTTTTTTTTAAGTAGGAAAAGTCAGTTTCTTTATAGCAGTTTGTTTGGTGAACCATTTCCACGTTTTCTATTTGTGGAGCATAGAAATGAATTAGCATATTTTTCTATGCAATCCATTCCACTCGGTGAAATTTGAACCATGATTGGTTAGCAGAAGCTAATTTACTTGACCGCAATTCAGTGAAGATTTTCTTTTCTTTTTCCTTCTGCAAAAGCAGCATGTGACACAAAAGTGTTTTAACCATCAGTGTATGTCACCATTTTCTTCAGTACACTCCTCCCTGATCTCATAATCATAATTGCAGATATGGCAACTGAGTCTTTTAATTCTGGTACTCCATTGTAGGATTACAATATACTCTTCTTCCAAAGACATTTTCTGTTGAGTCATACTGCTCGTCAGTTCCTGAGTCATCTCCATTATTACATGAAATGTTGGATATTTAAAATTCAAATTCTCTGTTGAACTTTCAGAGGATGTGCTTGATGTACTGTGTCGCTTTCTGATGTAATGGAGCCAACATCTGTGTGAAGATCTGTCAGATGGCATTCCGTCAATCAAAATTGTGTTTGGACTACTGATACCAGTTACACACCCCATCTGATACCTTGAAGTACATCGATTGTACAGGTTTTTTAATCACATGGTCTCCTATTTTGTACAGCATGGGCGGTTTTCAATGTTGTGATGGAAGAATTAAATCAATTCTATTCACCCTGACTTGATAGTTATTGATCATATTAGCAGGCACAGTAACGGACCACTTCCATGATTGAGCATTGATTCCTGGCATCAATTCTTTTCATACTGCGATGACTTCACTCAATTATGCTATAACTTGTATGGACGTATGCACATCAGAAGCAGAGTCAAATACACCACTTTGCTAAGAAGTCATTGACCAGCTGGCTACGGAACACAATATTATTGTCTGTCAGTAGTTCTTATGATCATCGGTCATAAAAGAGGGCCTCTAAATGATTGATGACACCTGTAGAATTCTATTGATGCAATGGTCGCCAAATTGGCTAAGGCCACAATCGATCAGTGTCAGGTAGTGTCTTCCATTATAGGGGGTAATGTCCATCCCCAATCATTTCCATGCCTCAGGCACATTCAGCTTGCTGCATAGCCAATCTATTAGGGTGGTGTCAACTGATTAACATTCCTTGCATTCCCTGACTACTACATTAACATCTGCCTTCTAAGCTAGGGGATGAATTCACTACACATTACAATGCACGCTTTCTGCTAGGATGCCCACTTTGGTAGTGTACAGCCCTTATTAGGTCAGGATCAGGTGCATCCACTGACACCTCTTACTTCATCTAACCATTTTTGTGGGACTCTCATCAGTCTGCCAGTTATGGTTTGATCTGACCAATGTCACATCCACCGACAGCTCATACTCCTTCTCTTGGGTACCAAGTTGTCTTCTGATGAATATTTCATTTGCAGATTTAGTGTGTACTCTGGTCTTTTCTGTGAGCATGTCAGATAACCACCAATGGACAACTACTCCAAGGTCCAGCAAACCTCCAATGTGAAGGGAGCTTGCGTCAACACACACCACCAATGTCTATCCGTCTATGTACCACTTGCTGCATGCAGGGTTAGTGTAACATATTCTGATCATGATTTTAAGAGGGGTGCGGGTCACTCACCTTATCATCCCCAAAATGGTATATTAGACAATATTAAATAGTATTTGTTTACCATGTATCAAATTAAATTACTGAAAATAAATCATTTATATAATACTTGTACTTTTAAAACTACAAATCTAGATCTAATAATTACTTCAAATTGGTCTATTATTTTTTTTTTATAAATAATCATCAATATATCATTTGCCTATCATTACAAAAATCTTTAGAAATATTATCCATTAATAATACGAGACCTATCCACTTAAACAAGTAACATGCATAAAAAATCAGTGCATACATGCACACACACACACACACTTTAAAAATAAAGGAAAGAAAAAAAGCACTAAACTTGAATTGTAAGAAGACAGAATGCATGATTGTCAGCAAAAGGAACAGCTCAAGGTACAAACTATGAATTGGAGACACCAAAATTAAGCAAATACAAAAATTGAAATATCTAGGAAGTATTTTAACAGGAATATGAAATGTAACTTCAAAATCTGAAGGTACAGTGGACTAGTGAGAGATGCCCTCCAAAAGCTAAGCAAAGTATTTCAGGAAAATTTTGTTAAAAATAAGAATGTTGAACTGTTATGTAATATGAGCCTTAATATATGGTAATGAATGCTGGACAATCTCTTCACAGATGAAAACTTCAGCAGAACTATGGTTCTACAGAAGGATACTGAGAATACAATGGACTGAACATGTGATCAACAAGGTTCTAGGAAAAAAGGAAACAAAAAGAACACATACTTTGAATTGGAAAGAAATAGTTGAAATTTCTTGGGCACTGAATGAGGAGTGAGAGCCTTGAGAATTTGACACTCACAGGACATATTGAAGGCAAGAGGAACAGAGGAAAGCAGCAAATAACCTAACAAGCTTGTGTAAATGTTTAACAGAACAGGGATTAGGAGAAATAGCAAAAAGACAAGACTTACTTAGATACAAAGGACAGAGAGAGCCATCATCACCCATATCCTGAACTGATATGGTGCATAGACATTCAAGTATAAGATAAAGAACAAATAGGAAATGTTTATCAATCTAAGATGTCTTACTTTATTAAAGCTTCATCAGAAAATGAAATATGGTACAAAAGAAGAAAGAAATTCTGGTACTTTTACGTTTGTGTTGTTTGATTTTCATTGGTTAATCATGTTTCACATGCATTCAATTTGTAATGAGAGGAGAGCTAGAAAAAAAAGATTTATTCTCCCATTTTACACTTCTCCCGTTATTATATACATGATATAACAACACCATAGCTCAAAGACAGGACAGAACAGAATGGCTGAAAAGAAAAAGAATGACAAACATACTTTGTTCTCAGAGAGACTTTTATAATAGTACAACATACAACCATATATATATATATATATATATATATATATATATATATATATACACACACACACATACTAGAATTGGGCAGTTTGGCAATTTATGCTTCAGTATCAGTTTCCGTTTTTTCTTAATACTGCAGATTTTAATTCAGTTTTTCGGTTTTTAATTTACAATTTTTGCTTTTTAAGGAAACCATTCATTTTCTTGTGTAATGATAGCATTTCCAGTCGATATCTGATTTTGTTTGAGATTGATAAATTTATCATGTATTTCTGGTCTAATCTTATATTATGATATGGCTAGAAAGAAAATAATCTTTCCAAATATGTAATTTGTATATGCTTTTATTCATTGAATTATTTTTTCTTTTTTTTTACAGCAAGTATTTTGCTTTGAACAGCCAAAAATATGAAACAAATAGATTTCACATTTATTTCCTAAAACTAGTCAATTAAATATTTTTAACATATTTTTGTTCAATCTTTTTCTCTTACAGTAACGGTATAAATGTTGATAAAATTTAATTTTATTAACATCTGAAAGTCTTTTTCAATATTGTTTCTTTGGATATGGTCACTCAGTAGTGATATAAAAAATGAAATCAAAATCATTTGGTTTCGTAAAAAAATTTTGGTGTGGTTTTGCAGTGTGAAGATGAAACCAAAAAAAGTTGTTTTTTCAGTTAAACCGCATATCTCTAATACATACACACATGTCCCAAAATGGAGAACTATATATCACATATCTACACAGCAGAGGAGAAGGAGTAACAAAAAGGAAAAGTCTTACATATAATATAGAGATACACTTGATCTGGAGAAGCCATCTATCTATATCCCAAAGGGAAACAGCACCGTGTGCTTGTAAGCTACTGGGATGACAGATTTACCCTCAGCCTGTGCCCTCTGTAAATATTGCATTAATGTATAATAATTCTTGTTTGTCTATGCAAGATTCAGATGATGATTCGTGTGTGTGTATTAAACATGTTAGTCTTTCACATGTTGATTTGGGAATGTTTTTACATACATACCATTTGTTTTAGATAAACATATGTTAGTTTCTTTAAGAATGGATTCAATAAAGGTTGGTGATGTAATATAAAGTTTTTGATGTGTTTATAGTTGGTAATATTGTTATTTGTAGGCCCTGAAAGTACTTTCTCTATAAAGAACTATGTTCTTTCTTAATTTGGGCAGAATTTGTAAAATCAAATTTTATATAATGTAAATTTTATTAAATATGTTCAAATATACATAAAGTAACTGCATCAAATTAAGTAAAATTTTTTACCTTTTTTAGATACAAATTTTTGTTTTGCATTAAGAAATAATTTCTTTTTCTTGTTAGCTTTATTATCCTTGTTTTCAAATTTATGAATTGTGATAGAAATAATACCTGAATGATGTTCAAAATGAGCAGTTTCAAGTTTAACCAAAATGAAAATTACTTATTTTGATATCAAAACATCTGCATGATCCTCAAAAGAATGTTACAATGGCAAATTTGATACAAGATCTTGTTTAATGAGAAAAAATTGTTAATTTCCTTGCCTTCAACACAAGCATCATTGAATGCCCTAATTCTAGTCATTTGAATTTAATGAAGAGGTCTAACTGAGAGAACAAGTCTCCTGGAACTAGACATTATACTTTTTTCTTTTTTTTTCTTTTTTTACTTAAATACATACATTATTTTTTTTTTCTTACTGTATATTTTATATTCGTATGTATTATAAGTTTTTATGATTTTATGAACCTAATGAATATTTGTAGCAATTTAAGATTATTTCCTTGGATATCTTGTTTTTTATGTCAGTTACTATTTAAGAGCAGTAGAAAGCCAGTTATAATCTCTAGTTATTTGTATTATCAATGTTCTTGCAATGCCTTTATGCTTGCAAAAAATTATTTATGTTTGGAACAAATTACTTTATAATTTTTATTCAGCAGGATAATCCACAAATTTAAAGATACTTGGAAGAATTTTATTTTATTATTTGATTTTCTGATTTGATTTCATAAACTTTTTCCAGGTAAAGCAGCTCGAGATATGTTTTTTAAAGTTTTGGCTGCTGAGGAACCAACTATAAGAGTACTCAACTATGCTCCAGGACCTTTAGATACAGACATGCAAACTTGTCTTCGTGAAAATCTTGGTGATGCAGAGAACAGAGCCATGATAAAAGGTAATTATTGTTAGAAATTATTTGTAAGGTCATATTTTTTCTCTTGTTCCTAATTTTAGTGAGTTTTTACAGTTTATATTACATCATAAGTAAACTTTCTTGATCATATATTTTTACATTACATCCTGAAAATGAAGGACTCTGGGATTCTAAGAGAAATCACTTAATATTTACTATGGACAAATTCAAATGAAGAAGCATATAAAGTAAACTGAAATAAAGTTCTTACCAATATTCACAGATAAATGCTAGTTTATTATCAACTTAAAAATGACAAACATAATCATAATTCCTAATGTATTAAGTAACATGACATTACTATTTTAAAGTAAAATGCTGGTATTCTCTTAGATGAAAGACTTTTAAGATTTTTCTTTCAAGATTTTAGGTGAATTTATTGTTTTTCAATTATGGATTAACTTTATATTTCTATCAGTGTAACTTTTAAAATTGCTTTTATTTGTTAGCTTACTTCTTCACTATTAATTTGCATATAACAACAAAAGTGAATTGATATTTTTTTAATATAAACAGGTCTTTTGTGATTGAAATGCTTGTTGGTATTATATGTAGAATAGTCATAAAGCAGGTTTTTAAAAAGTCCTTTATTTTGATATTTTTTCTGAAAGGGAAGTTAGAGTATTTTTCCAACATATTGTAAATTTTAAAGCCTCTTTAATATTTCTATGAAAAAGATTATGAATACCCAAAAGAAGCACGGCACATAAATTGTATGTTTAAACTTGTTCATGATGTCATTGCTTTTTTTATGATTAACACTTGCACTTTATGTTAAACTCAGATGATAAAAATACAATTATAATTTATATGTCCTGTTATATTTTTTGTCAAATTGATAATGATTCTCATGAAATTTTTGTGTATGGAGTTCAATATATATTATAGGAACTTAATTCTGATCTTTATTTGTTTAAATTTTCTCTTACTTGCTTTCAGAAATGGCAGACCAAGGCAAACTGGTGAAATGTGAGGATACTGTACAGAAACTAATTCATATCCTGTGCAAGAATACTTTTACTAGTGGTGATCACATTGATTTTTTTGACTAAAGATTCTCTTAATTAGTTTATTGCAATGAGTTCATTATTTGTATTAACATAACTTGATGGAAAATGGTTAACATTAAAAACATATCTTTAAACCAGAAAATTTTTCAAATTTCATGTTATAGTAAAGCATGTAAGATAGTCAAATAAAGACACTATTTTCATAGGAATCTGTGTCAACATATGATAAAAAGTTATAAAAGTGACATTTAATTAACATTAAAGTGAATAATTTAAGTAATTCTCTGTAAAATGAAAGGTATAGAATGTACAGCAGGATTGATGGATGCTGAATAAAAAAACTTCTCTTTTACATGTTACATACATTTGTATGGCAAGCTAGAAAAAAAGAGATGAGAAAAGAAAATACATGACAGAGACAACAGTAGTATTATTTGCCACCCAGGCAAGGGGTGGAAGAAACAGTAAAGAACGAGCAAAAAGTTAACAATATGCAAAGTTTAAAAAGGAAGTTTGTATTAGTTGACTGTCCATTTCTGTGATAAAGAAGTCTTCAGTGAGTGTTAAAAGAATAGTTGTTTGTGTGTGATTGAAGTATATTTATGTGGTCACAATGAGGTCAAAACTATTATCTGCTGCTAGCTTGGTAGGTGAGGATAGAATGTATATGTGGTAGACATGTGCAATGGCACCACCAGAAGAATTGACCATCTGTAAATTTCAGTCCATTTATACATTTTCAGAGGATCACAAAAGCATTTTCTCTGTGCTCCACCACTATGTCTGGCAACCCCATATTACAGTCCACTTTTCTATTTTTAATTGTGATGAAAAAGTTAATAAATCATAAATTTTGAATTTTTGTGGGGATGTAACAAATTATAATAGCATATAAAAATTACAAGTAACAATGTTGCTGAAATGATGAACATTGGAAATTTTTTAACTATAAGTAATGTTTTTTTAATAAGAATTGGTATTAGCATAGATTTGTTTTTGTTTCTAATAATATTAAAAAAGTAACAGCCATATTTATATTCTTATCTCAAAAATGTTAATCAATTCTCCTATCAAATTATCATTAAAATGATTTACTGTTTTCTGAGGAAACAGATTGCAAATGATTTAAACTGAATATGAATGTTAGTTTGAATTAATTACTAATCATTTCCTATTGGCCAAAATGGTAAATAAAGGAACTTAATAAATTAAGGACTAAATTTTAAAACATTTTCTTTTGGTAATCACTATGCCATTATAAAGATATAGCTGTACATTATTTTCATTCTTTTTCCTTTTTTTTTAAATAAATTTTTTTCTTGTTAATTTTGCATATCTTGAAAGTGATTAATATGTAAATTAAAAAATTCAGAATTTGTTGTTTTTTTAAAAGAACTAATGACCAAAATAAGTTATGCAAAAAAAATTTAATTAATTTTCTGTTGAATAAAGCAAAGACTCTGATCTATTTGTTAAATTTGCACTAAATACAAAATGAGAATCTGTATATGTGGCTAAAATGAAAAATTTATTTTAAATTAATAAACTAGAAAACATAACTACTTTCAAATTTTTATTTTTTTAACTTTTTGAAGTATTTGTGTGTCTCTCTCTCTCTCTCTCTCTCTATATATATATATATATATATATATATATATATATATATATATATTTTGAATTCTAATCAAGATGAGGAAATAAAATATTTTTTTGAAATACTCACATACTGTATGTTTTAACATTTTTGTTTGAGCATAGATAATGTTGTGAACTTTCTCCTGATTTATATCATTTTTTTATGTGTGTATGTAATATATATATATATATATTTAAGTACTCATTTAGACATTCACTCACACGCGCATTTGACTAAAATTGAGTCTGGTATTTTTTAATTGAAAATAATTATAAAGATAACTGTGTAATAAAGATTTTGTGACAAACAGCTGTTGCTATAAGTATGATGTTAGTAAATATATAAACATTTTTTATATTTTGAATAAATCTACACAAAATAAAATATAATTGTAAAAACAAAAGACCAAAAAAGAAAAAAATAATTGTGTGATCAAAATTAAATACATGAAAAAATTAGAAATAAATAGTAAATAACTTTTTGTAATCTTTTTCAGTAACATTTCACTAAATGAACAGAAATATTTTCAAGGATATTTTGCTATTCATCATGTATATAATCTTCACATTGTTGCAGATCACCTTGTTTTCTTATACTTACACATAAATTGGATTTATGTTGAGAGTATGTGAAGGTCAAAGTAGCACTTTTATATTCTTAACATATTTCTAAACTAATTTAGAATAATTTGGATCATTGTCAGGGATAAGGTGCCAACCTCACTTCAGTTTCAGATTTTTGGCAAACACTTTCTATTTGATATCCATATTTCACAATAATCCTCTATTTCCATTATATCATTAACCCTATCAAAGTTTCTGTTTCTTTTACCTCCAAGCATAATACCCTTTTGTCGTAAACTATTTAAATATCATGTGAGTTAGCATTCTCCCCTCCTTCGTATAAATAGTCACCTGGTCAGTGATTCTAGCAGTTTGTACTTGACAAGTAGTTGAGTGATGCTTGGATTCACTTCAAGTCTTTCTTCAAGAGACTTACAACAACTCACTCAACTATTAGTCTAGTGGCTGAATCTAATTCAAATATAGGATGGTGACCTAAAAGCCTAGAAGACATCAATCCTAGTTCACCACTGCAGCAATTAGCTTAGTTGGAGACCATTTTTATTAAAATCCAAATAGGATTTTTGCAAGACATTTACCTGCTGCAAGAAAACAAGAACCTAATGAAAATCTGAATGACTTATTCAAGGGACTTGAAAAACTAAGACAGGATTGTGATTTCAAAGACTGTAAAGCCAAACAATGAGTGGACGAATCTATGAGGAACATTTTTATTAATGGAATAGCTTTTCCAGCAATACATCAAAGACTGCTGGAAAATGAAACATTGGATTTACAGACAACTTACGATCAAGCTTCAGTGCTGGATTTAGCACAGAAGAATAACAAAGCTTATGTTGCCCCTATTTCCTCTCCAGCTGTTACAGTCTGTGAGAGTAACCCTTCTGGCAAAAACAATAAAATTAATATCTTAAACCCCCCTGAAACAACAATGGTAGCTGCGAATTACAATCCTGGGAGTACTAATAGGAAAGCCTGTTTCTTTTGTGTGGCTGTGCCATACCCTAAGAGAAATAATTGTCCAGCTCAAGAAGTCATATAAAACAAGTGTTCTAAAAAGGGATGCTTTGCTAAAGTGTGTCAGCTTTGAGTAACAAATGCCACAAGTGCTACCATGTTCTCTACCAACATAGTAAGTAATGCAGAAGTGCCAAGTGGGGGGGACTCTTACATGCTGCAACGATTATAACTATAAAAGGAAAAAAAAATTAATGCCTTACTTGACTCTTGTGTTTCTGAAAGCTGTATTAGTAAAAATACACTTTATTCTTTAAAATTAAAATGTGTTCCTTCATCAAAACAGGTGATTATGTCACAAAAAAATCTAAGGAGTCAATCTAGAGGATATGTTGTTGTTAGTCTCAAACTTAATGATAGATTATATTTGGCCATTCACCTGAATATTATAAAAGACTTGCATTGCGATGTGGTACTGGGAAGAGATTTTCAGCCTCTGCACCATAAAATTATTTTTGAATATGGCAGTCAACTTTCTGAACTGGTTATGAGAAATACAGTAACATGTAATGTTTTAGAAACAGCAGATATGGAGAAACCCACATTGTTCCCAAATATTACATCTCTATTCAAACCAATAGCTACAAAATCTAAACTGTATGCAACCTGATTCCTTTGTCAAGTTTCACAGTCTCAGCAAGTAGAAATTGTCAACACAGGCAGAATACCTGTCTGAGGTGATGGCATCAGGTAACATAATTCTCTGTAGAATCGGATTCACCTTCAACTTACAGAGTAAATTTTCCAGTTCAAGATCATAAGGTATAGTGGACAATTTAGACAAATAGATCTGGACAACATGAAAATCTTCAATCTTAACTTATTTACTTCTACTATACATCCAGAAATTAAAGTGCAGCTTGAATTTGACTGCAGACAAGATGTTTTTAAGAAAAAAATGTCAACTTTATTGAAAGCCTTAATTAATTGATCAGCACAGCATTCTCATTGACTTTATGATCATGTGTACAAAATACAGATTATCTTGGATAGTTCTATGCTTCAAAGCACAAATCTGTTTAGTGATTTTTAAGATCTTAACTAAGTGGTTTATTAAGATCTTGGTCAAACTGTGTTTAATACTCTGAAAATGAATAATCCCTTCCCTATCATGTTTGTTCTTGGATAACATCATCACCTACACACTTGATGACACACTAGGGAGTACTCTTCTGCTTCATCCAACTGTTGTAGATCTGTGCCAGTAATGGGACAAACATATACAACAGCTTCAGCAAAACTATATCATCAATTCCAAGTGTCTTTTCTATCTAGACCATTTTTAACACCAGATTTCATGCTCTCTTATGGAACTCTTGTACCTAGCTGCTTTAATCACCTCAGGCAATGAAATTCACGGAATCAAACCAGACACCATGGTAAAAAGTTTTAGTAGTAATTTCCAAATTCCTCACAGATGATTTCAATTATAGACAGTTTGTCCATTTAGCAATGTGATAAAAATGATATGATGATCACTGATATTCCAGAGATGTTCATAGGGCACTTGTGTAGTCATGTTAATCACTACTACAGATATTCTTTTTCATCTAACTCTATCAGAGCTTAGTCTTTCTTGATAGAATTAAGGAGGTAATCTCTGCCTTAACTGTCACTACTTCATCTACATCTTTTAATTTAACAGCCCTCTCTAGATTCAAATATATTTTGTGCTGCTAATCTTTGAGCTATCAACTATAGTCTGCAGAAAAATACATAATCCTACTTTTTAGGTGATCCCAACAACAGGCCCATCAACTCCCACTTTGGGGATAGTAT